TAATGAAGATGTTGAACAGGATTGGACACAACACTAAATGGGCACATTTAGTCTATGGGAACATTTTAATGATGATTAAATGTTTAGGAAACCTGCTGCTTGTTGTTGTTAACCACCTAAACAAAATGGAGTGCAAGTAGAATTTTGGGGTATTTTTTTACTTTTTCTTTTCTTTTCCCTTTGCTAGGAAAGAAATTACAGTATTTATTTGAACCACACAGCCTTACTGAAAGCTATACTTTTGCACTGTGGGATACCAGAGGATAAACTCAATCAAGTCTACATCATTCTGTATGATGCTGTGGTAAGATACTAGTTAGTAATCTAATTTCTGTAATCACTGTAGAGTATCTTCTTTTTTGGAGTTATCTCTAAAAATGAGTGACAGACCATAACCAGGAGTATCCTGTGGATACATAAAAAGGCTGGTTATCACTGGGCTGTAAAATTAAATGAATTACTTTTCTATTACTTCTGGATTGGGATGTTTTAAGATTATTTCTAAATGTATATTTATGAGAGAATTATTCACCTGTGTAATTAAGAACAGGGTAAGCTACTGAATAAAAATTTAAAAATTTTAATATCATATTGGTCATTTCTACCTTATAAGCAGAGAAACTAGATGAAATTCATTTGAATAATTAAGGTAGGATTTAAATCCCAACCAAACACCATGTTTATTTCCATTCATTTTATTATTTCTGTTGCTTACTAATTTACGTAAGCATTTCAGTATTTATGCAGTAGTGCTTTTCAACAGAGCTGATATTTTTATACCTTTTGTTGTTTCTTGAAACCAAGCTGAATATGGTTTCACTACAAGAGAGGTGGAAAATGTTTTTAGTTGTTTCTGTCCCTTTACAGTATTACTTCAGTTTGTAAATGCAACGTTTAGTTACAGGTACTGGTAAGCTGTGTTTTAATTCTTAGCAATAGTAGGGTGTTTTTTTGTTTTGGTAATGCAGTTGTTGAATATATTTGAATCTCTTTCTCTTGTAGACTGAAAAGCTAACTAAAAGAGAAGTAGAAGCCAAATTCTGTCATCTTTCTCTCACATCAAATAGTGTAAGTAATTTTAATTGAGTATTAATGCCTCTGTAACTTGCCATAAGTCAGTAATATTTTATTCACTTTTATAATTTAATCAACCAGAGTAAGAAAAATAAACTATTACATCTGCTGTTCAAAATAGGTAAGTCGCTTTGGAATTGGTCTGATTTTGTTTTTTGTTCTCTCTGGAAGTCACTAATGCAACTGCCCATGTTTCTTTCTTTCTTTTAAATGCATTTTTGAGACTGCGAAAACAAAGGATAAATTGAATACCGTATTTAGTAAAACAGAGAGAAACTTTAAAAAAAAAAAAAAATTGTCTACAAATGTTGATGACTGTGCCTAAAAGAGTTGAAGTTAAATTCTGAACACTGAGGTGATTTGTACTTAAAAGCAGACTGCTAGTTAAAACAAGCAAAAAAGGCAGATATTTTACTCACAACAAGTCAAATATTTTTCATTTTTTCAGATGTAGCCTGTTTTAAACACTATCAGTGATGCTAGCTAGTGTTTTATTTTGTATTTTGCTTTTAGCTCTCTCGACTCTACAGATTCATTGAGCAGAAGGGAGAAGCAAGTAACGTATTTCCATTTTTAAACACAATGATAAAACAAAAGCCAGGTGTCACTCAGCTGTTGAAGCAAGGCATGAAGGATTTAGAGGAAATCATTGGTCTGTTAAAGCAACTTGGAATAAAACTTCAGGTTTGTAAAATAATCTGCTAATAAATTAATGGATTTATAAGCTGCTGAGCCTTGTAATTTGCCAGGAAACAATTATTTTGGAACATAAAAAGCACATCAAAGTGTCTTTTGATGGTAAATTATAATACTAACATTGTTTTGTGGTTTGTTTTTTTTAAACTAAGCTTGGAAGCATCATCTGGCTCATGAAGGAAATACTAAAATTTTGAAACAACCTATAAATATTTTGTAAAATATATAAAGCTGGTGACCACTAAGGGCTTCCCTTCTTCCACTTCCCTTGAGCCTTGCCATTTGAGATTTGTGCTATAGATTTCTTGGGATGCTTTAACATTAAAGCATCATTTCTTTATTTTTCATCATATTTTAAATTTTTGGAGATAAGGACTGTTTCCATGTCTTCCTTATGTGTGAACAGTGTTTCCAATCCATTCTGCTAATACAAAATTTATTATATTAACCAGTAATATTGGTAAAGGTCTTACACACACTCATTTTTATTTCACAGGTTTCTATAAATCTGGGACTAGTTTACAAAATACAGCAGCACAACGGTATTATCTTTCAGTTTATAGCATACATCAAAAGAAGACAAAGAACTGTGCCTGAAATTCTTGCTGCAGGGGGCAGATACGATCATCTGGTATGTATTTATCTCTTTTAATGAATTTATAGAATTTTTTAAATCATGAAAATTGAAAAACCTCTTGGGCATTTTGCAAAGGTAACTATTTGGGTCTTTTGTTTTGTCTTGAGATTCCACAATTTAGAGGGCCACAAACGGTAGGACCAGTACCTTCAGCTGTTGGAGTCAGCATAGCCATAGACAAAATAACTGCTGCTGTTTCCAGTGTGGAGGATTCTGTAAGTCTGTTTTTTTGGGACATGGGGGGGTTTGTTTGCTTGTTTACTCCTAATAGTTCAGTAACCTTACTGTAGCAGCAAATGGGCAAAAAATAAGATGTTCAGATGTGTTTCAAAATAATACCATCCTGAAGTAGACAGCAAGCATCAAGATAACATGTTCTCTTCTGTGTTTCTCTATAAGAATTTAGTAAAACAAGAATTTGGGGAAGAAATTTTCAGGCTTAGACTTTTTTGTTTTGTTTTGTTTTGTTTTGTTTTGTTTTGTTTAAATTGGACATTTTTCTTGACCAGTAGATTGTTTCAGACGGAAGAGTACAACATAGATATTTAGCTAATAAGTGGTACTTTACTCCTACCACTTCTCCCTTCATGAAAGCATGGAAGGAAACATAACACTTTGTACAGTGTCAATTTCATGTGTATTTTACTAACTTTTCTTTACAAGAATAAATGAACATTGCTAAGTGGAGTGGGAAGAAACAAAGAGAATAGGCTAGGAAACTTTGCAGATGCTTTTCATCAAAGATTAAGTTTCAGTGACTTACAAATGTGCTTCGATGGATTGTGGCTTGATGCATTTTGAAAAACATGAGTATATTCATCCTTCTTGTTTTTCTTTCCCTGCAGGTTTCTGTCAGCTCATGTGACCTCCTGGTTGTAAGCGTTGGTCAGATGTCAATGGGTAGAGCTATCAATATTGTTCAGAAACTCTGGACTGCAGGAATTCCAGCCGAAATAATGTATGACTGGTCCCAGGTAGAATTTCTGTCTCCATGTGTTAGCTACATTGTGGTTCTCTAAGATTAGTAGAGCCTGAGAGCATCCTTTTTCAGTTTTAGTAGGATCCCTGAATTAATGAGTTAATTCTTTAATAAAGGGCACATCTAGAGCAGAACAGTCACATCCACTTCTAAATACATCAGATGGCTGAAGACTTATCAGGTACGGAGGGAATACTGACATCATTCTACTGTTAAACAGTTGACTAAACTGAGCTACTGCATGCACCAAGGGGTCCCCATGTAGCCCCAGGACAGAGGGAGAGAAAGCAGCAAGCTGAAGAAGAGGAGCTTTAGCTGCTGCTGCCTCCCTGGAGCAGTGAGCTACATGGAAGTGCTGAGGTCCCTCTCCACAGTGGTACCTGTTACCTGGGCATTATGAGTCAGGTTCACCTTTAAGTATGCCAGCTGGTGACTAACAAAAGAAATACTGCAGTTGCCCGTTCCAAGTCACATGCTGCGGAGCAGACAGCTTTGAGTTCAGTCACTGATGGCAAAAAAAGTCAGGGAATCTTTGCCATAACATTTCCAACAGTTTCAGTCCCTCTAGAGCCGAAAAAAAAATCGAGATCATTATTCTTCTTGTGATTCTTAAGGAATGAAGATTTGGGTAGTTCTTGCATCTGTCTAATGCTGTCCTGCAGCCCGCTGTTGAGTCAGCATACCACGCCAGCACTGAGAGTGATGGGAGTCAGGCTCAGGTTTACATGAAGCCCTGCTGGAGTCAGCTTCCACTACAGAGTGCCAGTCCTGCAGGACTGAGCTACTGCTGACAGGTGCCAACAGTGGGGCAGTAACTGACTGATCTGATATTGCACACTCATCTAGATCTTGTCTTTCTAGATCCAGTGCCCTTCCATGTGGGAACCAGGACTGCAGGGCCTAAGCATACTCTGTCTAGTGTAGATTTAAGACATGCTTTCAACTTTTAAGGAGCTTTAGGTAGATATATTTATCTATAATGAACATTCCACCTCCTGGACTTGTTAATAAAGCTTTCCCCTCTCAGAATCTTATATAATTGGAGTAACTGCTGCATATCAAATTATTTTAATGACAGACAGGAGACTGAGTAGTTAAATGATCATTTCATAATTTGTAAAATTTCTGACCCATTCCCCTTCCCCTATTTTCCTTTTAGTCCCAAGAAGAACTGCAGGAATATTGCAGATGCTCTGGGATTACATATGTGGCTCTTGTGTCAGACAAAGAAGGAAGTCATGTGAAGGTAAGTGTGGGGGTAGAGGATGCTGGACAGTGTTTCAGATTTATAATCTGTTGTTCTAGTTGGGCTTTTTTTTTTTTAGGATCACTATTATTTCAATCAAGTATTTGAGAAGATGGAATTCAGGTGAATACAGTTTCAGTTGCTAAGTATTAGAAAGTTCTTCTGAAGAAGCCTGCTCTTTATCCCTCCTTAACACTGTTATTGGCAGGCCTTTCCTCTAGGAATGTCCAAGAATTAGTGCAAACGTTGCTTGACTTGCAGTTGTTGTTGTCTATGTGGAAAAAGGTTTCTGTTGTCTCTGATTTCTTTGAATCTACAAAATGAATTGGTTGACTCTAATCTTTCCAGCTGGCAGCTTTCTATGCTGCAAAACAAATAGAACTAGAACATGTATCTAAAAAACTCCATGTAGTTCAAACAGGCGAAGTCTGAACCACACTCCTCATCTCTGTAAGCTGAGGTTAAGATGGAAAGACTGGACTGTGTCAGAACACGAGTAACCGCCTTCTGTGCTCCGCAGCCTGTGGTTCTGGTACCTTTTCAGAAGTTAAAAATGTTAAAAATGATTCTTGATTCTGGGTCATTAGGGAAAAATTCTCTATTCTTTGAATAAAGATTGCAATCTTTGACTGAAAGTGACCATTTGACAGCATCTGGCATGGTCATTTTACCAAGCCAGTGTGTACAGCTAAAATGTTTTTCCCATGTTACTCACTCTCCTTGTCATTGTAAGAGAGATATCAAATAACTGTGCAATAACTGTACCAACAAGTAGATTTTGATAATGAGAATGTGATACATCAATGTCTTCCACAAGACTACTGCAGTGTGTTCTTTTAAATACGGCTTCATTGAAGCAAAACCAACAAAGAACATGCTAATGAGGTGAATGGTGTTACTGATTAATCTCTTCCCAGTAAAGCTGAAGCAGATATTCCAAGTTTTAATGTTTGAATCTAACTCTTACAAACTGAAAGGCAAACCTTGTTCTAATGTAATTCCTTAACTAAAAAAGTTGAAAACCAAATGTGCTATTATTAATTTTGTATTTGCACCTCTGAACCATTCTGTTAAATAATCACATATTAAATACTAGTTTAAGCTTTGAGAATGCAGAGGAAATTAGTTGGTTGATAAAAATCTAATCAAAGATTGAATTGGCAGTGGTTGATTGGTAATGATGGTAACTGCTTATCTTTGGCTGCTTCACTTTTTAATGCTTGAACAGTCCAGTTTTGATTAATATGCTAAGCTTATTCATATGCCATTTTAAGAATCAACAACCATAAGAACAACTGAATTATATCATAGGTGAAGTCCTTTGAGAAAGACAGACAGACGGAGAAAAGGATTTTAGAATCTGACTTAGTAGATCACCTGATCCAGAAACTGAAAACCAAAATCTGTGATGAAAGATGTAGTAGGTAAGTAGCATAACATGTCAATGTGAATAGCCAAAATCAGAAGTGAATGTATGTTTGCTTTAATGAAATAATTTTGATATGCTTTGTTAAACTTTGATTTTGTTTAATCATACCATCATTTAGGTTGGAAAAGACCTTTAAGATAATTGTGTCCAGCCCTTAACTGTACAAAGTCCATTGCTAAACCATGTAACTCAGCACCACAGGGATGGTGACTAAACCACTTCCCTGGGCAGCCTGTTTGAGGGCTTGACAACCTTTTCAGTGAAGGAATTTTCCTCATTTCCAACATAAACCCCCCCTGGTGCAACTTGAGGCCATTTCTTCTTGTCCTGTCTTTTTTTTTTTTTTTTTCATTTGAGAGAAAAGACTGACCCCCACTTCTCTGAAACCTCCCTTCAGGTAGATAGTAAGAGCTTTGCTGAATCCCTTTGAGGAAGGGAAAAAAATCAAAAGGCTTGGTTATAGAATTTGATTGAGATTAAGGAAGAGACTGGTTTCCCTAGTTGCTCTTACAATCAAACATCCATAGTGCTCCATAAGTTAAAATGCTGTGTAGTTACCTGCTCAAATGCTACTTAGACACTTTTATCGTATCTGTAAGAAGTGTAAAGATTACTTCTAGATCTGGTTTTGTCATGTAACTTTGCATGATTTCCTGTCTGCTCCAGAATAGAATTTAATGTGCAGATATATGCTGAGAAGTATCCATAAATGTCTTTATCTGCTGGAATGAAATACATATGATAATCTGAAACCATGTCTTATTACAGTATTTCTTCATTATTGTAACTGTTTCCCTAACTGTGTTTACTTTTAGAGAAACCTCAGATAATCTTTCAGTACCAAATCAAAAAGGATCATTTACTAATATTTCAGGTATTTACTCTGTAGTCACAGAACATACAAACTGTTTCTCTTTCTGCTAAGCTGCTTTAGAAGAGAATGTTGCTGGAATTTATACGTCAAAAGTCAGAGCAAGAAAATGTTTTCTAGCTGTGTTTAACCAAACGCACTTCCTCCAAATCTCCAGTGTTGTTCCCAGTGATGTAAAACTGACATTTTCTCCAGGAAGTGCTCAGACTTACAGACAGAATATTCCCTATGAAAGCATTCACTGATGCAGTGAGTGGGGGGGTGGGGGCAGGAAAAAAAAAAAAAATCCTAGCTGGGGAGAAATTAAATGTCATCTGGATGAAAAATGACGTGCCCTGTGATTGTCACTGTCGAGACCTTGTGTCGAGTCCTTGAGTGCACATTGAACTGCTATTGTACTGAGATTTTTTTTTTTTTTTAAATTCAAATGAAAATGCCTTTACATTCCAGCTACAGATGTGCACTCCTTAAGTCTGAAAATAGGTTTGTACACATAGAATTAATATCAAGTACTTGTTTGGATAAAGTTTGGTACTTTTGATAATTATTTTATTAAGTTTCTGCTATAGCAGGTGGTTGTGCCAGTGGTTGTTTTTAAAGAAATACCTCCCCCACCCCCTTGTATAAGAATGAGGGAGAGAAGTAGATATGCTTAACTTGTTTGGGGGAGTGTGTGGGGGTGATTACCAGAAGTAGCAATTTGGATTTTAAAGTACGGCATTTCAAATTTTAATTATTTGGGAGAGCTATGGGCTGGGGTTTGTTTTTTTTTTTTTTTTTTTTTTGTCACTGACTGCTATGGGACTGAGCATTCAGGAGTTGCCTCATTCTTGTAACAGCATTTCTTTTTTTAATACTAGGTATGCTACTTTATTCTGTAAAATTCTGCAAGCCATTTGGAAGCTTCTACTAGTTCCAGGGCACACTGATGTAAAATACAGAATGTCTTAGTCTTACCAACCAGTCCTCAAAGTCATAAATGAGCATTTGAGAATTTACATGGACATTTCACTGTCCCATCTACCTGACTGACTTTGGGGGTTTTTAGCAGCTGTTCAAACCCTATTACTATACAAACCTTAGCTTGTTAATATTTGTGAATTTTCTGTTTCTCGCTGCTTCTTGTATAAAGAGAATATAATCTAAAGCTGTGTGTTTGTATTTTAGGTGTATTTGAATCCCATGGAACTCTTGTAGTGCCTAATGTTAGTGTTATAGCTCCTGAAAAATTATCTGCCAGTGCCAGGCGTCGTCAAGAACTTCAGGTACAAAACCATCAAATAAGTATTAAGAAGTGATCCTTAAAAGTTAAGGAATGGTAGAATTTGTATTTTCACTATCACCTAACTTAAATACATCCTGTTTGTCCTTTCTTCTTAAAACAGACTATGAGCAACACAAAAGTTTGAAGGCAGAGCCCAGCTTTTTTAAAAATTCTGAATCTTGGGGATTATCTGTGACATTGTGGCTCAGCCATCATTATACATACATATTAGAAATCTTATTTTAATAGAAAACCTGGTTCTAGAATTTTCCTTCTTTTAATAAATGCTGAAGTGTGTTAAGGGTGCAAGTTCAGGATACTTTTAATTTGTACTGTTTGTCACAGACACTTTACGTATTTCATGTGTTAACTCAAACTGAAGGCCTAAGAAAAAAATTGTAGACTACAAAAAAAACACCCCACCCTTTCTAAAATGTGATATTACAGTAATATAGAAGATGCTAAACAATGATAGAAACAGATGTCAGTTTGCTCATTTAGAATCACTGGCTTCAAATCAGAGTACGTGGTAAAACACAACTGTGATGTTATCTACAGAAGCAGTGCATCTTACTATTGCCTATCTTCTGTTGCTAGGTGCAAACAAGGCTTCAGACATTCATTTCTAGCTTGCAACAGAAAACAAGCGAGATTGAGATTTTGGCCGTAAGTATTTGGCAGAAGCCTGAATTAATTTTGCATTCTTAATTGACTGGATGATGCAGCTGCTATCTGGAACAAGCTACTGCCAGTAGCGTCTCTTCAGAGATAGCAAAGGAACCAAAAGCCCAGTTAAATAAGACCCACAGCATGTTTCTTTAATACTTGAAAAGCATCTCAGATTGTATGTATTGGATGGTTGCACAGAACAAAATTTAATAGGCATTTAGTTGTAAATTCTTAAGCTGCATTTATTCTAATTGCTGTGGTAGATTAAATAACTTGTTCCTGCTAGATTTCCTCTTACATTTAAACCAACATAGCTTTTGTTTGTATATAGCTTTTAGACTTGACTGACCATGACCTCTGCCTATTTATAACTTTCCATAATGGAATCTGTCACGAACAGTTTGTTTAAAATGCTTAAAACCTTGGTGAAGTCCCAGTTCTATCAACACTAGTGCTTCTTTGGAAAGTCTGACTCTGTAGCTAATCTCTAGTTGGCAAAATGGGAACAGAACTGTTAAGTATTGATTTCTTGATGATATTTTTACAGGTAGATCTGCCAAAAGCAACTGTGGTACACTTCTTATCATTAGAGGTAAGCAATTAAATATTGTCATTAAAACAAATGGAAAAATACATGATAAATTCTGTTTGTAATTAAGTGGAATGTAGAATTTACCCATTGTAGTTTTTCTCCTTAAAGGAGTGTGAATTAGATTTTAAAAATATTTTTTTTACCTAAGGAGCTCAATTGAGGCTAGAAAATTCTTTTTGTTAAATGTCAGTTATGTAAGACACCATTAGGAAGTCCCAATCCAAAGCTGTGGGAATTTTTTTCCCTCAAGAACTGTTACCTAAAATTGTCCTAACACTCATTTTCAGAAACCAATGTGCATTAATAACAGTTTCCAGAAAGGTATTTCTTAAAGCTGTTAATGAAGGAGGAATAAAAATACAGAGGCAATTGTTTCGATTGCAGTAGCTGAAACACCTTAGAGAAGCCAAGATAAAAAGGGGAGGTGCAAGTATTACACTGACACCTTCAACAACACAACTGCTTGATGAGGGAGGAAAAAAAAATATCTCACTAAAGGCCAAGCTCTTTTCTTTTCTCCAATGACAGCAGTAATTTTTAAGTCAGAAGTTCTTAGTGGAGAGATGCATGCCTCCCACTCCCCTACCCCCCTATAAAGCCCAAACAACTCAGGAATGGCATCCTGCCTGGAAACCAGATGTAGTACTTTCCTACCTTTCATCTGCCACTCTGAAGAGGTGCCTGTCTGGTAATTAGACCCATCTGAAAGATTTTTAAGTATTTTCAAAATACATAGTTTGTCCAGTCTATCCAAATCATGGAGGTAGTGCATCACTTCTTACTCCAAAAATGCAAAGTCAGCCTGCATCCTTCACTTCTGCTCTCGCTTACTCCACAGTTCTCACATCCTGTCCAACACTGTGAAACTAACGGAGCCCCTTCTGTTGCTTATGTCTGTTGACTGGTAAACTGTGTTAAACTAATCACTAAATAATTTTTTTCGTCTTAAAAATCAAGTTGCATATTAGTATGGATTTTGTTTGAAACGTGTCATTAAGGAGCACTGACATTGCACAGTGTTCAGAAGACTGAATCCAGTCAGAAGTTCCTTCAGGAGAGACCATACGGCTGTGTCACTTTCTGTCCGCAGCTCGATGGAGACAGACAGGCCTTCGACGCCACTGTGAGACAGCTGATGTCACGACTGCCGAAGCAGAGATGTTCATACTTTCAAGCAATTTGTGATGAAATTTACAGCATCAAAATGGAAAAGAGGTAAATGTTTTACATACCTGTAAGAGCTTAAAAGATCTTCAATTATTTCTCCACTCAGACTTCACTAAATCAGCTACTATTAATTTGTCCTTACTGAGAAAAAAAATACTCGGGCAAGGTGTGTGGGTCCTTGAGTAGAGTTCACAGGTCATCTAATCCTCCCTTGTGGAAACATGTAAATTCTTCCTTTTTATAAGCCTTTTCAAGAAGTTTTCAAAGGTATTCCCACTGTGATCTCACTTGCTGCTGTGTCCATGATGCTGAACAGCAAGCAGCTATGTGCATTCAGCTGCAATACTGCTCTGCTGCATAGCAACCCTGTGTTCTCCTGGAGGGACTCTGGCACAGCTGGCAGGCTGCTCAGCTGTAGCAGACACGATGCATGCTCTCCCAGCATGGGCAGCAAAGCCCATGTCTGCTTTCTAAGCATAAAAACACTTATGTTCAACTCACTCTCCTTGCTGGATTCTTGCAAGGTTGAAAAGTTTGGGCACATTCACTTTTAAGCCTCAAATTTTCAGCTGTTGTGTGTTAACTGAGACCTGGGTATTTATGTCCTATTGGGGGTTTAATTTCTAACCTTTTTGTGCACCTTCACGCCAAACATAGGTTTTACTTAGCCTTTAAATGAGACTAAAAATCAGCTTTGATTCCCTTTTCTTAGAGATGCACCAAATTGCTTCAGCTTTGTGGCTGTGGCAATTAAACAGCAAGTGAATTTTTTTCTTTTCCTGTGGCTTGTAGGGCTGTGAGCAGCAGAAGCCAATTTCTACATGTGAATAATATTCCATGCAGTACCAGATGTGAATGTAACATAATCCCTGACAAAGTCTTCCTTTCCCATTTGAGGCCTGCACACAGAATGCTGCTTAGCCACAAGCATTCAGATCTCAGAATAAAATCTGAACAGGCTAGAGAAGGGAAATGAAGGGGGATGAAGGGGGAAATCTGTCACAGCCAAAAGGAATGAAAACTTACTGCTTGTCTAGTGAGTCTTTGCTGTTAAGCTACAATTACCTTAGCAATAAGTTTTGAACCTGCAGTTTCAAAGTTTACCAATTGTCTCTTTTCTTTCCCTCTGCAGGGCTCCTGCCCTTATCCTGTACAGTTACCGAGATGAATACAAGGTTTTGGTTTAATGCTTAAAGCATCTTTTTTGGGATGCTTTTACTGACAGCAGCCTTTTGTCAAAAGGAATTTCAAAAGACTGTAATACAGGCAACTAAGGCCTTTTTATGTGTCCAGATTGAATTTCATGTGTAATATAAAACCTTAAATTTATGTCAAAGTAAAAATAAATGTTTTATAGGCAATTAAGGAGCAAGTCTGACTAGTCACAGATTTGTGTCATCATGTTACTCTTGACCCCTACACCACAAAAGATCTACCAGCTGTCCAGGTGTAACACTACTTTTTGGTTTTTAAAGTTTCAGAATACTTTATGTCAACTGCAACAGCAGTACTGAAGTGAGAAACTCCGTTCAAGGATTAGAGAGGATGAATTATCTTCAGCTTTTAAAACAAGCTTTTAAAATTTCTGTAAGGTGTTTTTATGTAATAAAAGGTTTAGCCTCTTCACATGGGCTGCTCAGATCAAGTTTTGAAGTTGCCACAGTAATGAAAACCTTATAATTATCTTCTTGAAGCTGAACTGCACCAGCAACTCCAGGACCAGTGAAGCTGCACCAGGACAAGTGAAGCTGAGCAAAGCTGAAGCTGAGTTACAGCAGCCATAGTTAACTCTACCATCAAACATTTCACAGCAAACTTCTTGTAATATTGGAGTGGATATGCAGAAGTTAGGGATTTCTAGAAACACACTAGCATGTACCCTCCTTCCTTACTTGGTATGTTGTTTGAAAGCTTACTCCAGTTTCTTTTAACTGAAATGATTGCCTTTAGCACTGCAGGTTCATTGCAGTAAGAAATACCTACCTACTTTTTCTGTCCTTTTCTTGTAATAAAGAAGGCAAAGTTCAAATCTGTAAAGAGGTCAAAAACAAACGGAAGATCTTCTGAGAACTGTGAAAGCTGTAACAGCAACCCCCAAAACAGCATAAGGGGAGTGTGCCCTAAGGCAGAGGCAGCTGCCCCATTCCTGCAGTTCACCCAGAGAAGTCACATCAGTCACTGCAACCACATCCATTTCTCTTTGTGTTTAATAGGAACCATTAAGTATTCACCCTTTACATCTGCTCACATGATGGAACCACTTTAAGATGGGAAGTACAGGGAAGTTCAGATCCCTGAATGCACTGAAGGATGAAGCCTTTCTTAAAAGGTTTAGGTGACATGAGCATTTATAAGCCATGTCTGAAGGGAATATGATGCAGAGTCTTGCCCTTCCCACCTCCCAGGCTAGGGTCAGCACAGCTGGATCAAAGGCACAGCTGCCCAAAGCACTGTGCTGGCTGCCCTGGGGACATCTGCACTGCATCATGTAGACATGTCTCAAGAAAGAGGAAAGCTGCTGTTCCTGATAAGGTGTTGGCACCCACTTTCCCTAGTGCTAGTGAGGTTTAGCTGTAAAACTGGGCATGTGTCACTGAGACTCCTGCTCCAGCCTCAGCCTCCTCCCAGTTTGGTGCATTTCTCCTCACCCTGTGTTAACCCCCAAACAGGTTTTACTCTTCCCAGTTGTATAATAAAAACAGCAGTATTAAGTACAAAACTAGTTGGCAGCTGACTGTAAAGCTATTTCAGCATAACCCTGTAAATATTACTGCTGCACAACAGTCCACAGAAAGCACCTTCTGCTCTCACTTTAAATGGAAGTACTGATCACATCCTGGTATCCTGCTGGAAGGAAAGCCAAAGACAAGTGGTAACTCAAAAAGAAATGGACTTTGAGCAAGGGTCAAGTCTGTTACAGTGATGGCAGGAGGCTGTTCCATCACTGTGTTGCTTTACTTTTCTTGTTTTTGCTTTTCTTGTCTTTTTTCTTCAACCCATCCATGTTGGCTCTCAGCAAATTTGAATATGCCTGAAACAACAATTGGAATCATTAAGAGAACAAACACTCACTGGATACATATCTGCATTTTCTCAGAGGATCTTGCACCCTACATAGGGAAACTACTGTTCCTAAACCAGTGCAGACAGACAGAGAACCCATCTATCTTCATTTTTTTTTAACATTAATATTTATGGCACTTCAACACTGAATCAACTTGTTCACAGCTATCCAGTGCTTCCTACTGACCACTCCCCAATACCTACAGAAAAGGAAGATAAAAGGTGTACAAAACTTACCATCTGGAATTTATTTACTTCCTTTGAGCTCACCTACAAAAGTAATGCTAGAGGTTAACCAAGAAAACACTGGTTTCTACCAAGCATCTGTACATGTCTACCCACCACTGACCATCTGGTCTCTGTAGCAGCAGTTGGTTAAACTTGATAAATTCAGTGGTGGGTGAGCCGTATGGACAGACACATCACATCACTTCACTGATTTAGGAAACTGAAAACACTCCCTCCCTTGATTTACAAAATCCTCTGGAGTTTTCCTTCAGAGAATCACAGAATGATTTGGGTTGGAAGGGACCTTAAAGATTGTCTAGTCCAGGCCCCCTGCCATGGGCAGGGACACCTTCCACTAGATTACGCTGCTCAAAGCTCCATCCAACCTGTGCTTGAACACTTCCACAGATAGGACATCCACTGCTTCTCTGGGAAGCCTGTTCCAATATCTCACCACCCTCACAGTGAAGGATTCATCCCAAATCCATGTGTTTTCAAATGAGAAGAAAGTGAAACATTCTAAGGAAGGTTTTATTTACTTGCAGGGCCATAAAAATATGTTGCAGCCCAAATTCTCTTTTCAGCTGTTTCTCAAAGTACTGTTTTTCCTTGGATTGCACCACAGAGGAGAGGTAAATCAGCTAAAGCCTTTCCCAAGCTCTCCTTCAAAGTAAACATAGATCACGTTTTAAACATCTAGTTACCATTTCCTGAAATACAAATAGCACTGCAAATGAAAAAAAAAACAGGCACAGTAAACAAGACACAGGCTTAGGAGAGTCCACACATGCTCACACTTTCTTGCCAGAAAACAAAGATCCCTTTCCTGCTGTTTCACAGTCTGGGAACATTCAGTTCTCTCCTCAGATTTTAGGACCTTCAGTGAACTCCACCAAGGTCTGTATGAAACTACCTCTTTGTCACCTGAGGCTTGAGTATAGATGTGCAGGACTTTTTTTCTTCCTTGGAGCTACACCACCTCCTGCCCTTGTGTCCTGTCCATGTCTCTAGAAGCAGTTTCCCCCTTCCTTCCAAACTTCACCTGACTTACAAGAGCTGAGGTTGCCAAGAACAGGCCGAGTCCATTTCTGCTGGGCTGCAACACCACTCTGAAGCAAAATCCAGCATACAGAGCAAAATGGCAAACTGCTGTCCCATCTGTAACACTGAGTGTAACCACTGAAACTTGTGGTAAGCATGAAGCCTCAGCATCCCAACTTCAGCTCTGTATTTAGCCTACCATATGGTTTCTCTGGAATTCAAGAGGGTAGTTCTCACAAAATTCATATAGATAAATTCCACTTAAAATATGGGGCATTAATAAAAGTGAAGTAGGGCCACTAATCTTTCTAACCCAAAATGGTCACTTACCACTGTGCTAATTTTCTTCTTTCCATCAGTTGCTCGTAGAAGACACTTATTGTCTGCTGGCTCAAAACTTTCTACGTGGCCTTTGCGTGGGACTGGTTTTGTTCGGCCATCATCTGTATTGAGAGATTGAGAATGTTTATTCCCATTTCACTGAAATCCCAATGCCAAATGCCTCCTGAGGTGAGATGTTAAAAATTGCTCATGAGATCTGTAAAACACCTGGGAATTTAAGGCCGTGTGAACTGAGATTGCTGTCAAATTGTTTGCAGAGCTCTTCCTCTGTAACCCCAGAAGGATCTGTTCCATGAACTACAACTTCCAGGACACAGATGTAAATCCTTGCCCTGACGTGCTGCATGAACTCCCTGCTGCAGCAGCGTGTTTGAACACGTCAAACTGCAGCCTATGACACGACTTCTCAAGTAGTGCCAGCTGGGCAGAATCCAGAGAAGGATAAAACACACAAACGCAGTGCTGTAATTCCTTTATAGAAATCTAAGGATTTCCAATTATTAGTAATGTGAAAGTCACGGTGTTTCCTGAATTTTGAAATACAGCCTTAATTCAAGGCGGTTAGTACTGCAGTTAAAACAATTGATTTGACCACGCGACTCCTGCCGTTTTCAGAAACTCTTAATTACGGCTCTAGCTGCTAAAAAACGTGCTAGCAACGCTACGGTTTGATGTATAAGACCTCCATTACATCCCGTATCAGCCTTAAAACTCACATTTTTTCAGCGTGATGAAAACACTCCCCGAGGTTCTGCACTTTTGAAAGAGCCTGGTAAGCTCTGTCAGGAACTGGAAAGAGAAAGAGCCCCGGTCGCC